CGTCAACCTCAGAACACGCCGCAGACACTCCAATAACTGGCCAAACGCGTTAAAAACAGAATGGCACAAAATTCCGCGGGACAGAATTCGTACACTTATCCAGTCAGTGCCGAGGAGATGCAGAGCCGTGATTGCTGCCCGGGGCGGTCACATGAGATACTGAGTTCAGCGCCACCTTGTAGCCGTATGTGACATGACAATTAACAGTTTTCACTGCCTTTGTACAATGACAACATGTGACTATCGAGCTCCAAAATTTCATATTTGGATCTATGATATTAAATTAAATATATCAACTTTATTTGGTACAATAAATTTACTAAAAATCTACCTGTGCGTTTCTTTTTTTGATGAAATTATATATATGACGTAGATGATGATATTTGTAAACAGTGGAATACAGTCATTACTGCAGATATAAATTGTTGCCTAGTTATCAAAACAATCAGCAAATAGCACCGCTTATTAGCGCTGAGTAGAGTACTTCCTAAAAAACAATAGTGTTTTCCTAAAAACAACACTTAGGTTATATCAATGTTTATTCTGTTTGCGGTGTAAATGTCATCAAACAGGAAGTCCTCACCCCAACAATGGTAATACTACCGGATGTCTATTATGTAATTTCTAGTGTTTGAATGACATCTTGTTCTCAGTAAACCGTAATGTGGAAATAGATACTTGATTGATTTCATATTCAAGTTAGTATTTCCCCTCTTCAAAGTGTGCCGTGAGGCCGTCTTATCAACAGTCATTTTTGAGACATCAACGCAAAGTTTAATTAAGTCTACTCTCATTTTTTGGCATTAATGATTAACTCTATCGTTAATTTCGAGATGTCCAGTAAATACTATTCAAAGGAAGATAAGGAACACCTGATTCTTTCTTATTTCATTGGAGAAAGCGATGTCCCCTCTCGGCCCCCATACATTTAGCCTACAACTCACGATAGGAGTGCTTTGTAAAAGTCTTTTAACAAGAATGTACATATACTTTCTGATTAATAATAAGATTAAATAATATCGCTGACGTTGAACAAGCAAATACAAGTACAAGATGTTCATAGTATCTATAAACATATTGAACATGAAGTAAACATAGCGATTCGAATGTTATTTAAGTGCCAACACATGAAAAGGACGAACATTAATGTATAAGTAAGAATAATGTAGATACAGATGACGTAGAGCAACTATGCGTTCCAAAGTTTATTACTGACTGACTGGCTGACTGACTGACTAAGGTTGGGGATTTTACGTGCGTTTTCCGACTGCAATCGTATGTCGCACACGGGCCCGCCAGGCCATTCAATGTACATGTATTTGCCAAAAAATATGAAGGAAGGGATTCTATGTATTTGCCCAAAAATATGAAGGAAGGTAGGGGGGTTTAGAGGTTTCTTATATAGGAGTTTGTAAATTTGGAGATTTGGAATGAATGCCAAGGGAGGTGTGGGTGTTGAGTGAGTTGTTTGGTTTGTTTATTAATTTATTTAAAACAAAATTTGTTTACAATTTTGTTTTGTTTTGATTATTTGGGGGTTATATTCGGTTAATAAGATCTGTTTTAATTAGGTATTTGCCTCGGGCTTAAAAGTTGGATGACTTTGTGTTATTTAGTGGGTTTAAGATTTTTTCAGTTTAAGTTCAGTGTGTTATGGAGTGTTCTGTGTGTCTTGTAGTGTGGGCAGTGGATGAGTGCATGTTCTGTGGTTTCTTTTTGAGTGCAGTGTGGGCATGTGCCTCTTGCGTGTATTTTTAGTGTTTGAAGGTGGCTGTTTAGTTTGGTGTGACCTGTTTGTAATTTAGTAATGGCCCTGTCGATTTTTTTGGATGGGTGAAGAATGTTGGCTTTAGTTAGGGTTTTTTAGTACTTTTTTTGAGCTGACAGTTCAAGTTTTTGTATTTTGTTTGCCATTTTTTTTAGATTTTTTGTTTTTAATTTCTGATTGGGAAATTGGTAGATTTAGACTTATTTCTGGGAGTTTTAGTGAAAGTTTAGCTGCTTCGTCGGCATATTCATTACCATAAATTCCTACATGTGCGGGTATCCAAACGAATTCTATCTGTTTGCCTGCTTTAGTTAGTTCGTTAGAGCTATTCAGTATTTGATTAATTAGTTTGGGGCGGTTTTTAGTGCTTTTGGTTTTTAGGGCCTGGAGTCCACTGAGGGATTCTGTGAGGATGAGGATGTTTTGGTGGGTTTTTATTTGTGGGTTTTAAAGGGCTGTGACCATGCCCATGAGTTCGGCCGTAAAGATTGGTTGATTATTGGGGAGTCGGTAAGATTTTGTTTGTTTTAGAGGTTGAGAGATGTGGATGCCAAAGCTGGTGTGCTTTGAGGACGAATCAGAGGATCTGTCTCTGTAAATGTGGAACCAATTTGGCCATTTCTCGTGGATGTATGCTAATGAATTGTTTTTAGCGATGTTTGGATCCGTTTGTTTGTTTAGCGTGGAGGCAAGTGTGGTGTCTATTTTAGGGGTTTGGAGTTTTGGTGTGTAAATGTTGGAAGGTTTGGTGTTTTGTCTTAAATTATTTAGTTTGTCTTCATTTTGGTAGATTGTTATTCTTTGTGATATTGGGGTTAGTAGTGGGTTTTTGCGGGCCAGCGCTTGGTTTCTTGGGCTTATGTCGTTTTTAAGAATTTTTTGGATGAGAGGGTTTGATTGGGCGGCAGCCCAGAAGTTAAGAGATAATTGTTCCATGTGTAATTGTAATGGGATTGCTCCTGTTAGAGCCTGCAGTGAAACGCTAGAAGTGCCTTGTTGGGTGCGGGTGATAATTTTTAGGGCCTGAGTTTAATTTATTATTTAACCCATGCTTGCCGTAAAAGGTGACTATGCTTGTCGTAAAAGGCGACTAACGGGATCGGGTGGTCAGGCTCACTGACTTGGTTGATGCATGTCATCGATCCCAATTGCGTGGATCGATGCTCATGATATTAATCACTGGATTGTCTGGTCCAGACTCGATTATTTACAGACCGCCGTCATATAGCTGGAATATTGCTGAGTGCAGCGTTAAACAACCAACCAACCAACCAAGTCTGAAGTTGATTAAAAGTTATAAACTGAAGTACAAAAGAAAGTACACACCCCACTATTCTGACAGTAAAAGAAGACAGGGCAAACTTTATTGTGATTGTAATGTTTAATGTCATTGTTGAGTCATTTTCAAACATGTTTAGAATGGATTTAAAGATTTGTGGCCACATAAAACTTTTCAGTTGACAATAACGTCCATAGGCGGTCACTCATCAAAAATCACACTTGTAGAAATGATGACAGTCCCAGGTATGAAGGCCATGCGAGTGGTCTCAGTACCTCGTATGACCCCCATTTGAGTTAATGCAAGCCAGGACACGCCTTCTCATGGAAAAGGTCAACCGTCGGATGACGTCATTAGGGATCCGCTGCCACTCTTCTCGCAGAGCCTGTTCCAGCTGTGTTATGGTGGTTGGTGGCTGTGCACGTCGTCGCAACTGTCTACCGAGATGGTCCCACAGGTGTTCAATGGGTGACAAGTCCGGAGAGCGTGACGGCCAAGGCAAAAGCTGAATGTTCTGACGGTTCAGGAAGTCCATAGTGAGTCTAGCGGTGTGTGGTCGGGCGTTATCTTGCTGAAAAAGAAACCCCTGCCTTTGCCCCTGCATGAAGGGGATCACCACCGGCTGTAACACTTGGTCCCTGTACCTCTGGGCTGTCAGGGTCTGGTGGAGAATGACCAAATCCGTCTTCTGTTCGCCGCAAATGCCTCCCCAAACCAAAACGCTGCCTCCGCCAAAAGGATGAACTTGTTGGACACATGCTCCAGCCAGTCGCTCGCCTCTACGTCGGTAGACTCTCACTCTACCGTCAGCATGGTAGAGGTTGAATCGACTTTCATCGGTAAAGAGGACTCGTGACCAGTCACGACGTTGCCAGCGTCTGACTCTTCTTGCCCAGCGAAGACGGCTGATACGGTGTTGAGCGGTCAAGGTCATCCCACGGAATGGTCGATGAGCCCGGATACCGGCAGCTCGTAGTCGTCTCATGACTGTGTTCCTGCTGATGTGGTGACCTAACGCTGTCGACGCTGTTGATGCCATGGTGAGGAACCTGTTGCGCAGGTGTAATGTGCGTATGTACCGGTCTTCTGCAGGGGTCGTCACTCTCGGTCTTCCTCTTCTTGGGCGGTCGGATGTCTGGCCAGTCTGGTTGACACGACGAAGGAGTCTGATAATGGTTTGCCTGGTGCAGCCAAGGGTCCTTGCGATGTGACTGTTCGACGCCCCCACTTGGGACATTCCCACGGCTCTCTTTCGCTCCGCTGCTGTTAAACGTGGCATTTGTCTTGTGTTTTTTTCGTTGAATGAATAATTTTTGATACTATTGTTTATATTTGTAAAGATTTTGGAAACACGAAACTACTTTTAACCATGTAAGGTAAGGAGAATTTACGTTTCAAGGCTTTTATATTTGTAATGTAATGATTTAATTTTCCGGTAGACAACAACACAAAAAGTATAATATAAATAGGATATTCCATGTGTCTCGTGAAATGGGAAACTCGATGAGAGAAACATAATATTTCGCTCGACACATGAAATCTCCTCTAATAATGGGTATAGCGACGCATAAAATAAGTATTTGTGGCGTCATAATGCCTATGATGTAATAATGACAATAGAGGGAGAAGTAAAACGTAGTCCAAGTGACAGTCAACGTTATGCTTTTGACGTCATAAAGCATACTATTGTCACCATTACATCATAGGCATGATGACACCACAGATACTACTGTTATGCGTCCCCTAGGACTACAATGTAAGTTAAAGTTTTCATTACACCTGAAGAGTCGTTAAACAGCGAGTAATCTTGTGTGGATAAAGGAGTTTTGACAAGCATGAAACTATATATATATATATATCGGAAAAAGGTTCCTGTGCATCATTGTCTATCATTGGAAATAGTAACTGACTGTCAGATTGTAAAAACCTGACCTACAAAACAACACAAACGGCCAAGATATAAAATAGGTTTATTGGAAGACATTATAATCAAAAGTATGGCACAATATAATCAAAAGCACAGGACCTGTGAAGATCCGGGATAGAATAGGTCTTTAGCGACCCAATCTTGCCGTACAAGGCGACTATGCTTGTCGTAAGAGGCGACTAACGGGATCGGGTTACACACCGTCATCATATAGCTGGAATATTGCTGAGTGCGGGGATAAACAAGACACAAACAAACAAACAAAACAAAAGCACGGTTGCATGTATATAACTCTCCCCTACAGGAGTTGGTGGTAAACATTGCTTACTTTATATGGCCATGGGGACCCGTGTAGTTCCAGGTTAAAATAGGTCTTCAGCAACCCATGCTTGTCGTAAACGACGACTATGCTTGTCGTAAGAGGCGACTAACGGGATCGGGTGGTCAGGCTCGCTGACTTGGTTGATACATGTCGTCGCATCCCAATTGCGTGGATTGATGCTCATGATGTCAGTCACTGTATTAACTGGTCCAGACTCGATTCTTTACAGAAAGCCATCATATAGCTGGAATATTGCTGAGTGTGACGTTGAACATCAAACAAACAAAACTTTATTTTGGAAGTTTCCTCAAAGAGGGACTATAGAGTTTGTAAACTGTTCTATAAGCTGGAAGTAGCTGAGAACAAAATTAAGGATTAATTAATAGTATGTATATTTCACTATATTTCACTACCCGCCGTGATAATGCTTGAAAAGCGGCTTAAAACCATACTATATTTCACTATGTCATGCAACCTGTACTGACCTAATAACATTTTAGTCAGCAGACCAAGTCTTGTTTAAATAGAATGTTAAAGCTTGCCGGGTGTGCCAACAAGGAGGGGGAAAGCAGATGCACTGTTTACATTTCAAATTAATCAGGTATTCAACGTAAAGCGAGCGGGTCTCAGCAGCAAAGTGGTTAATATGGCAGGAATTCTCCAAAACCCTGTTCTGTGAGCCACTCTTTGATGACGTCACCGTTAGTCTCTAGCCAATCCATATCAGCCTGCGTCTTCTTGATGGCCTCTTGAAATGAAGTCTGATATGCCTCTGCATGTGTAGTGTTGGCAAATGATTGCAGCTGAAATACAATACAGCACATACGATTGACAACAGCAGTTTATATGTCAAACATCAGTTAAATATGGTTTCTCGTCTCATTCTAAAATACTGATCAAAACAACAATTTAAAAGAACTCTACCCACTTGCTTGCCTGAATTATCACTCAGCAATATTCCAGCTGTATGGCGGCGGTCTGTAAATAATCGAGTCTGGATCAGACAATCCAGTGATTGTTATCATGAGCATCGATCCACGCAATTGGGATCGATGACATGCATCAACCAAGTCAGCAAGCCTGACCACCCGATCCCGTTAGTCGCCTCTTACGACAAGCATAGTGACCTTTTACAGCAAGCATGGGTTGCTGAAGACCTATTCTCAACCCGGATCTTCACGAGTCTCTTTATGAACAGTTGGTCTTACTGTGAGTGTGCTGGACACACAGTTTTAACGAATTTTAAGTAGCATCGTTTGCATTTTATTACATTTCTAGGTATATTGAAGTGACGCCCACGCCCAATTTCCAAATAATGACAACGTTAACGAAAACGAGAAAGATCAGACTTGCTTAGCGTTCCGAAGTTTAAATCGTTTCCCCAATTTATACAATTTATAGAAACTTTGAATTTTTGAACTTGCAAGTAAACAGCTTCATTTAGAAATATATGTTTGTTCCATACAGTTGCAATAACCAAATATCTCGAAGTCATAATCTACACAGACAATTTCTTAACTTTGTATCACAATTTACCCATGAAGCTATGCGCAGCGAACGAACTGAATACAAACCTACCTCATTCACAAAGTATTCCTTGTTGTAACCAGATGGTAGATTCGTTATCAGCCAGGATAGGGCGGCTTGGCCGAGTCTTCAATTGAAAGAAATATGTTATCGGTTTTCACATTTTGCTATTATACACATATAAACATTTAGGTAGCGCGTCAGCTTAACGTGGGAGGGAAGGCCGAGAGGATTCAAGCAGGCATCCATCAGAACGGGTATGATGCTGATAAATAGATGGCCATAATAAGGGCGCATCTGGGATTCGAACCCATGATCACAAGTAACTCTGGCACTCGTCATTACCGGCGACTTCGGCACGTCAGATGACTGGGCCACCAGCGTCCCTTTGTCAAACGTCGAAATAATTGAGTGAGTGAGTGAGTTGGGTTTAACGCCACTTTTAACATTATTCCAGTTATATCACGGCCTGTCAGCTTAATATGGGAGGAAAGCCCGAAGTGATGCAGGTCTCGGACGTTTACCACATCGGTGAAACCCACGAGCACTGGTTTGGTGCTGACAAACCTAGAAACATAACCAGGGCAAACTAGGATTCGAACCCACAATCATAGGTTTCTGGCGTGCCCAAGGGACGCAACTTTGCACAGCGAATCGCGGCGCCTTAGTCGACTGGGCCCCCCGTGCCCCCCGCAATAATTGAGACAATTGTCTCATAGGAGGAAATTTAGTAGGAAAGGTTTCTGCCGGGACAAGAGTACGTACGAACTGACTTCGATAATATGCACACCGGAATTTCGTTTAGAACTCCATAGATACAAATACATATTGATGTAAAATCTTATAAATAAGTACGTTCTACAATAACAACCTCGGAGACTGCTTATCTGTCGGGGATAATGTGGACGCATATTCCTAAAATTCCACTCACTTGTCGTGTAGCATCAGGAAGTTGCTCTTGATAAAGCTCCATGCCATTTCTCTACCCGCTTCATTCAGGGCCACGCTCAGTATCACGGTATCCGCATCTAAAGAGCGAAATGTCGTATTGTCCAAAGCCTTGTCCAGCATTCTGAAACGATAAACTGGTTGAGATGAACAACCCTTCTTCTTCATCATCATCATCATCATCATCATCATCATCATCATCATCATGATGTTAAATGTCATTGTGTTCATCATCATCACCATGTTCAGTGTCATTATGTTCATCCCCGTAATCACCATCACCATCACCATCACCATCATCATAATCCTCCTCCTCCTCCTCCTCATCATCATCATCACCATGCCCAATAGTATTACGTTCATCACCATCATCATCGTTTTCCAATACAACAAATCAAGCACTGTTTTCAACATATTTCCATATAAAGCGGTGAGCTATCTTATCCTACAGTAACGTTTGGGTTTCCTGAACTCACAGTGACATACTCACATTGAAATAAAGAAAACAATATCGACTATCACTGGAAGAAAAAGCAATCTTTCCAAGCTTGGAAAGGACGTGAACAGACTCATCTTTGTCGATGTCTGGATACACCAAAACTCTCTGCAAACTTGCCAGAAAGATATTAAATGGCTAGATATATATTGTTTTCACCATGTCTCCAAGAAAATACTCAGCTCTCCTAAACTAGCCAAACCTTTCAGTGTTCGGGAATATCATCTTCCCATGGTTCTTACATAGATATTTTCGTTCGACACCAATTATTCCGAGAAGGAAAACATTTGAAATATTTGGAAAAATAGTTTCTAATTACTATCTATCTAGTAAAATCCCATACATCCCTCAAGTGACACATGTAAAGAATAGTCCTGGCTCCACGTTCGCATTGTGAAACGGATCCCGTAGACATATCACCTCTGTAACAGCCACGGCTGGGTCGTGCAGAACAGAGCGTAGAAACTTATTCCTCCGAAGGCCTGGTCCGACTGCTGGTACTGGCTGTATGCAAAGTTCCATTCTTCCATTCCCCCGTGTTCGACAGCGGTACATGTTACAACGTAGATGAGATTGGGGTCGATCCTACAACAGAGAGTGTGAATAACTGAATACATGCATACTGAACCGCAAAAGAGACGTCACCCCAAGTAACATTGCATGAAAAGTTGTCATTGAAATATCTGAGTAATTTTTGTCAAAGTTTCTAAAATTTAACATTACCTTGTCTAGAAAAATGAAAAAACCCAAAGCAATCAATAAAACCGATCGCCAACACGCATCACGGCAACCGCCATGGTAACCCGATGCACGTGAGTTCCATGCAAATTGAAATGCACATGCGTTCCCCCATTTCTTGCCCTATAAAAATCCAGCCAGATCGGATAACATTCATTCGTTATTGAATTGCTACCACATGCCAGAATTGACAAGAAATCAGCGACACCAAGCACTTGGACGATTACAAGCTGGACAAACCGCCCGGCAAGTAGCCCATGCATTTCAAGTCCACGTTAGGACCATATACAGGCTCAAGCAACGGTACCAGACCACTAGCACAACAGATGACCGACCACGTAGTGGAAGACAAAGGGTCACCACCCGACGTCAGGATCGTCAGATTGTGCGACAGCATCTTCAAGATTGCTTTGTTACTGCTGCGGAAACTGCTCGACGGACCATGGGGACACAGCAGCGACACATTAGTGCGGACACCGTGCGTCAACGATTGACGAGCAGACACCTCCACTGTCACAGACCACACCACGTCATCGCCGGGACCGTCTTCAGTGGGCAACACAGCACCAGCATTGGCGCCACTAGCAGTGGAGAAGAGTCTTCTTCTCAGGCGAGAGCTGTTACTGTATCTCAACAGCAGGTGGCAGGGGGAGAGTCTGGCGACGCCGTGGGGAACGTTATTCTGATGCTTAGGTTGTTGAAAGAGACTCGTGGGATGGTCCGAGCATCACTGTGTTGGGTGGAATTGGTCTTGCACAGAGGGTCGGCCCTGTGCTCTTCCAGAATATCGGTCCAGGGAGAGGCAATGGTGTCACAGCAGCTCGGTATATTGATCAAGTCTTGAGATCACACGCCATACCCCATTTGGCACGTCGCCGCAACCACGAGTTTCAGCATGATGACGCCCGTGCCCACACTGCGAGAGCAATAAGAGACTTCCTCCAGCAGAATGGCATCAGAACCATGCATTGGCCTGCCCTCAGTCCCAATGAGCACATGTGGGACGAGATTCAAAGACGACGGAATGACGTCCGACGAAGGCCGACAACTGCAGCTGAACTGCGTCAGGCGTTCCTCAGAGTGTGGGCTCAAGTGCCTATGGCCTTCATCAATCGCCTCACCCATTCCATGTATCGACGTTGCACGGCAGTCATCAATGCACATGGCGGACACACGAGATACTGACTTGTGATGCCATTTTTTTAGATACTAGTGATGTGTTTCATTTTAAGAACATTTGACACTTTAATTTCAACCTTGATGATCAATTTTGCCAAGTTTCATCTTTTTAATATGTCTCACCATCAAAGCATGTTTACAGTGTTTGGACAGATGATGTTTCTCATGTATCCATGTGACATTTATTTTGCGGTTCAGTATATATGTTGGTTAGCGCCTAACTCAGCAGCATTCGAGCAATATGACGTCAGTCTGTAAATAATCGAGTCTGGACAGTCTAAAGCAGCGACTAAAACTTAGTGGTTTCAACGTAATGGTCCATCACTAAATCCACTAAACTATCATATTCAGTGAGTGATTGAGTATGGTTTTACGCCGCTTTTAGCAATATTCCAGCAATATCACGGCGTGTCAGCTTAATGTGGGAGAAAAGCCCGAAGTGATGCAGGTCTCTGACGTTTACCACTTCGGTGAAACCCACGAAATGGGCTTCACACACTCTACCCATGTCGGGAATCGAACCCGGGTCTTCGGCGTGACGAGCGAACGCTTTAACCACTAGGCTACCCCACCGCCCCTGATATTCAGTGATAGTTACATTGCTCTTTTATCGCCGCCTTGTCTGATTAACGTAGGCGATTGTTTGTTTGTAAGTTATTTAACGCCGCACCTGGCAATAGTCCGACCTGTACATAATTGGATGTGGTCCAGACAATCAAGTCATTGTCATCATGAGCATCGATCTACGCAGCAACCAAGTGAGCAAGCCTGACCACCCGATCCAATTAATTGCCTTTTACAAGCATTGGTTGCTGGATACCCATCCTAAATCGAATCCACGTGAATCGTCTCTTTCGACAAGCATGGGATATTTAGGACCAATTCTACAACGAGGTTACTATGACATAAAGCTCAAGGATTTGGCTCATGTTACATGTTTTCAATAACTTCGGCTCAGCTTTTATTCTTTCTTTTATATTGTGTATTAATTGTTTATTCTTTATATCCCACTTTCTTTCATATTAAGTATTAATTGTTGAGCTTTGCTTTTATTCTTTTTATATATTGTGTATTAATTGTTCAGCTTTTCTAATATTATTCCTTTTATCTTGTGTATTAATTGTTCAGCTCGGCCGTTCAGCTCTGCGTTTATTCTTTCTGTTATGTTATGTATTAATTGTTGAGAATTGCTTTTATTCTTTCTTTATATTATGTATTAATTTTTGGCTCTGTTTGTCTTCTTACTTTTATATTGTGTATTAATTGTCCAGCTCTTCATTTATTCTTTCTTTTCTATTATTGTAAATTGTCCAGCTCTTTTTTATTCTTTCTTTTATATTATGTATTAATTGTTTTGCTCTGTTTGTCTTCTTACTTTTATGTTATGTATTAATTGTCCAGCTCTTCTTTTCGTTCTTTTATATTATTGTTAATTGTTCAGCTCTGCTTTAATTCCTTCTTTTCTTGTATGCATTAATTGTTCAACTTTACTTTTATTCCTTCTTTTCTTGTATGCATTAATTGTTCAACTTTACTTTTATTCCTTCTTTTCTTGTATGCATTAATTGTTCAACTTTACTTTTATTCCTTCTTTTCTTGTATGCATTAATTGTTCAACTTTACTTTTATTCCTTCTTTTCTTTTATGTATTTATTGTTCAGCTCTGCTTTTATTCCTTCTTTTCTAGTATGCATTAATTGTTCAACTTTACTTTTATTCCTTCTTTCCTTTTATGTATTAATTGTTCAGCTCACCTGTTGTTGACGGTGTCCATCATCCACTCCCGGTACAGTCGCAGAGCATCGTCCACGCATAGTTGGAGCCCATATGTACAGGCATAGTTGGAACCACGGAATGTCTGAAATCTGATCACATTCATATGTTGATATACAGTGTAAAACCGTTGTTCTAATATAAAAATACTCTATTGTGAATGGTCAATCTGAGGTTTCAAACCACAACATTAAGTTCTGATTGAAACAGCTGATTTGACCACTGCATCACTCGAGAAGCTTATATTTCTAGAAAAAGTACTTCTCGTTATTTTCTTTGTGTGTCAATTTGCTTGTTGGTTTAACTCCGCACTCAACGGCGGCGGCCTGTAAATAATCGAATCTAAGCCAGACAATGCATGGTTGATGGTCATTCGGGGTTTTCAAACCACAATATCCACCTCTGATAGAACCAACTAATTTGACCGCTGCATCACTAGAAAATAACTCTTGTTTGTTTCTTTGTTTGTTTCTATGTTTCTCTGTTTGTTGCTTTACTCCGCACTCAATCCATATATGACGGCGGCCTGTAAAAAATCGAATCTGAGCCAGACAATCCAGTGACTGACATCATGAGCATCGAACAATACATGGTTGATGGTGTGAACAACGATCCACGCCGTCGGGGTACGATGACACGCAATCAACCTGGTCACCAAGTTTTGTTGTACAATGTACCGCAGTTTTATTGCAAAACAATTCTAGGAATTTCGTAGGGTAGGGTAGGGTAGTATACATTGTATGTGATGTAAATGAGCACGTGTGGCCATTATAACTAATTGTAGACAATCTGACTCAAGGGAAATTGTTGTATTGTCAATTAGGATATAACTGCACCTCAACAGCTAAAGACCAAGAAAGAACACATAATGAGGCCAGACCAATATATATGTCGTAAAATAACAAAATATCAAATACATATTTAATGTTTGGATCTAATACAATACGAGATTGATAACAAATCGTCTGAGGGTGCTGAGAGTTTGGTAAGATGACACCTCTATGTATATAAGATGGAAGAGCAATACCCATTCATAACGAGGTTTCGACTGATTGACATGTTGTTTCAAGCCGTACTCAGCAATATTCCAGCATTAGAACCAGGACAAAGCAAACCGGTGATTGATGTTAAGAGCAACATCCCCGGCAGTCGGGGTACGATGGCACGCAATCAAGCAAGTCACCGAGACTGGCGACCCCATTTGTCCGCCTCTGATTACCAGATTTTGGAAGACGCTGTATCTGAACCCAATAAATACACGTGTGAGTCCACTTTGTTTAGTATGACGCGATTAACCGACCTTTCGCTCTCCTTGCAGACAGACCGCCTCCGTGGTCTAGAGGTAGAGCGTTCGCCCGGAGAGCGGAAGGTCCGGAGTTCGATCCCCGGCCGCTTCATACCAAAAGACGTTCAAAGATGGTACTTTTTGTTACCCTGTCTGACGCTCGGCATTAAGGGGCTAAAGCAAGGACTGGTCGGCTCGGAGTCAGTATACTGTGTCTGAGTGGGGTATTCATGTTAAACTGCGGCATGGTATCTCAGTGTGCTAGCACTATAAATCGGCAACAGTCCGGACTAGTACAAGCAGCCACACACACACGTGCATGCACGTCGCTATATAAGTGCATATTCTTAGACGCGACGTTAAACCCAATTTCACTTCACTTCACTCCTCCTGGCAGACGCTCTATCCATTTAACCACGAAGGCGGTCCTTATACTTACATATCTATTGGAAGAGTGTCATCTTGTATGTTCATTCTGTAGTGATTGTAGGTCTTATTTGCACTGACTCTCATGAATTCCTAAAATAAATATTTATATTTGATTAAATATCAGTGAACGATGAGTCAAACATACCTGTATGTATTACGATAGTTAATTTTAGATAGGAAAAATCATCTTTCTACGTCTATCTGTTCAGTGGTCGATTGTTACATGCTGATGCCATGATACCATCCTCGATAAACCAGTGCATTATATTCCATACTATTATGATAAATGCCCTGAACCCATCCGCCAACATAGCTTCGTTTATGGAGTGAAGTCACCATCGTTATGTTTTCTAGCAAACATGTCGCACAGAATGTCTCTCGCTCATATGTACAGTTCTATTGTACGGCGAGTTTTAGTGTTGCGTATTTCGAATCGGACCCAAAATGAAGCTATGTTGGCTATAGTGGGTGTGTATCATTATAGAATGGAGGTATCATACCCTGAATAAACGAGGATGGTATATTATTTAAAAGTTGTAATTATTTCCTATTTAATCCGTCGAACCAAAATTACTCAAGTATGGAATATAATTATACTTTCATTTTGCTAACTTACAGTTAGAAGTCTAACAGGGGTAGGGGAAACAGCTTGGCTTCTCATGAAATATCTTTAAAACATTTTTCTACAATTTTCATTTCGACTGTAAGTTTTCAAAACACATGGCTCGTATTAAGGTCTTTAGTAGTCCTGATGAGAGATCTTTAAACAACACTAACCCTGTAGGCACTGTGGAACTGACTTTGAACCAAAGCACTGCGACGGTAGCCATGTCGTGCGAACGCTCGCCAAGAGACATAGTCCACATCGTTCTTGAGGAAATTCAAAGTGCGAAGCGCTATTCCCATCGTCACAAGGCCGGTTCTGAAAGAATCAATTCCCACTTGGATCTGATATTAAGCTACATATGATTCAGTTCGTGAAGTTAACAGTGGCTGTCCAGGACATTGTGGTTCGCTTGAAGCTGACACACTGTGATAGAGCGGTATCTATGTTGGGACTGAAGCTTCCCTCCAGCATTAAGCTGACACGCCGCGATAGAGCGGTATCTATGTTGGCACTGAAGCTTCCCTCCAGCATGAAGCTGACACGCTGTGATAGAGCGGTATCTATGTTGGCACTGAAGCTTCCTTCCAGCATTAAGCTGACACGCCGCGATAGGGCGGTATCTATGCTGGCAATGAAGCTTCCTTCCAGCATTAAGCTGACACGCCGCGATAGAGCGGTATCTATGTTGGGACTGAAGCTTCCCTCCAGCATGAAGCTGACACGCCGAGATAGAGCGGTATCTATGTTAGGACTGAAGCTCCCCTCCAGCATGAAGCTGACATACAGTTATAGAGCGGTATCTATGTTAGAAGACTGAAGCTCCCCTCCAGCATGAAGCTGAGATGCTGTGATAGAGCGGTATCTATGCTGGCACTGAAGCTTCCCTCCAGCATTAAGCTGACACGCCGAGATAGAGCGGTATCTATGTTGGCACTGAAGCTCCCCTCCAGCATTAAGCTGACACGCCGCGATAGAGCGGTATCTATGTTGGGACTGAAGCTCCCCTCCAGCATTAAGCTGACACGCCGAGATAGAGCGGTATCTATGTTGGGACTGAAGCTCCCCTCCAGCATTAAGCTGACACGCCGCGATAGAGCGGTATCTATGTTGGGACTGAAGCTTCCCTCCAGCATGAAGCTGACACGCCGCGATAGAGCGGTATCTATGTTGGGACTGAAGCTTCCCTCCAGCATGAAGCTGACATGCAATGATAGAGCGGTATCTATGTTGGGACTGAAGCTCCCCTCCAGCATGAAGCTGACACGCCGCGATAGAGCGGTATCTATGTTGGGACTGAAGCTTCCCTCCAGCATGAAGCTGACATGCAATGATAGAGCGGTATCTATGTTGGGACTGAAGCTCCCCTCCAGCATGAAGCTGACACGCCGCGATAGAGCGGTATCTATGTTGGGACTGAAGCTCCCCTCCAGCATTAAGCTGACACGCCGCGATAGAGCGGTATCTATGTTGGGACTGAAGCTTTCCTCCAGCATTAAGCTGACACGCCGCGATAGAGCGGTATCTATGTTGGGACTGAAGCTTCCCTCCAGCATGAAGCTGACACGCCGCGATAGAGCGGTATCTATGTTGGGACTGAAGCTTCCCTCCAGCATGAAGCTGACACGCCGCGATAGAGCGGTATCTATGTTGGGACTGAAGCTCCCCTCCAGCATGAAGCTGACACGCCGCGATAGAGCGGTATCTATGTTGGGACTGAAGCTTCCCTCCAGCATGAAGCTGACACGCCGCGATAGAGCGGTATCTATGTTGGGACTGAAGCTTTCCTCCAGCATTAAACTGAAATACAGTTATAGAGCGGTATCTATGTTGGGACTGATGCTTCCCTCCAGCATGAAGCTGACATGCAATGATAGAGCGGTATCTATGTTGGGACTGAAGCTCCCCTCCAGCATGAAGCTGACACGCCGAGATAGAGCGGTATCTATGTTGGGACTGAAGCTCCCCTCCAGCATGAAGCTGACACGCCGAGATAGAGCGGTATCTATGTTGGGACTGAAGCTTTCCTCCAGCATTAAGCTGACACGCCGAGATAGAGCGGTATCTATGTTGGGACTAAAGCTTTCCTCCAGCATTAAGCTGACACGCCGCGATAGAGCAGTATCTATGTTGGGACTGAAGCTTCCCTCCAGCATTAGGCTGACACGCCGCGATAGAGCGGTATCTATGTTGGGACTGAAGCTTCCCTCCAGCATTAGGCTGACACGCCGCGATAGAGCGGTATCTATGTTGGGACTGAAGCTTCCCTCCAGCATGAAGCTGACACGCCGCGATAGAGCGGTATCTATGTTGGGACTGAAGCTTCCCTCCAGCATGAAGCTGACACGCCGCGATAGAGCGGTATCTATGTTGGGACTGAAGCTCCCCTCCAGCATGAAGCTGACATGCAATGATAGAGCGGTATCTATGTTGGGACTGAAGCTTCCCTCCAGCATTAGGCTGACACGCCGCGATAGAGCGGTATCTATGTTGGGACTGAAGCTTCCCTCCAGCATTAGGCTGACACGCCGCGATAGAGCGGTATCTATGTTGGGACTGAAGCTTCCCTCCAGCATGAAGCTGACACGCCGCGATAGAGCGGTATCTATGTTGGGACTGAAGCTCCCCTCCAGCATGAAGCTGACATGCAATGATAGAGCGGTATCTATGTTGGGACTGAAGCTTCCCTCCAGCATTAGGCTGACACGCCGCGATAGAGGGGTATCTATGTTGGGACTGAAGCTTCCCTCCAGCATGAAGCTGACACGCCGCGATAGAGCGGTATCTATGTTGGGACTGAAGCTTCCCTCCAGCATGAAGCTGACACGCCGCGATAGAGCGGTATCTATGTTGGGACTGAAGCTTCCCTCCAGCATGAAGCTGACATGCAATGATAGAGCGGTATCTATGTTGGGACTGAAGCTCCCCTCCAGCATGAAGCTGACATGCAATGATAGAGCGGTATCTATGTTGGGACTGAAGCTCCCCTCCAGCATGAAGCTGACATGCAATGATAGAGCGGTATCTATGTTGGGACTGAAGCTCCCCTCCAGCATGAAGCTGACATGCAATGATAGAGCGGTATCTATGTTGGGACTGAAGCTCCCCTCCAGCATGAAGCTGACATGCAATGATAGAGCGGTATCTATGTTGGGACTGAAGCTCCCCTCCAGCATGAAGCTGACATGCAATGATAGAGCGGTATCTATGTTAGAAGACTGAAGCTCCCCTCCAGCATGAAGCTAAGACGCTGTGATATAGCGGTATCTATGTTTGCACTGAAGCTTCCCTCCAGCATTTAGCTGACACGCTGTGATAGAACTTCCGCAACAGCCTCTACTCAATACCACCAATACTCCAGAAAAAAAGTGACCATCACGCACCCAGGTAAGTAGTGACCATCACGCCCCCAGGTAAGTAGTGACCATTACGCTCCTAGGTAAGTAGTGACCATTACGCCCCTAGATAAGTAGTGACCATCACACCCCTTGGTAATTAGTGACCATCACGCCCACAGGTAAGGAGTGACCATCCCATCCCCAGGTAAGCAGTGACCATTCCATCCCCAAAAATGACCACCCCCCTCCTTCCTTCAAACAAGACTGACAATAGGAATACTACTTACTGTTGCAGTTCCCATGCGTCGTTAATGAGTTGTGCTCTGGTCAATGGTGGAAACACCTGAAAATACACGAGTGCAGTTACCCCATCTTCGACTGTCAAGGGTATTATATCTCCATCTTGCAGGAATGTACAGGACCCATCAAACCATAATAATCTATGGCTACGTTTTGGCGCACCGTTTGTCGAGTATCAGGCCACCAACATTTTCCAATAACATATATCCAGTTTATATACCGGATTTTTTTTTTGTGTGTGCAGTCAGGTTCAATGAACAACATACTACATGAGGGGCGGTCGGGTAGCCTAGTGGTTAAAGCGTTCGCTCGTCACGCCGAAGACCCGGGTTCGATTCCCGACATGGGTACAATGTGTGAAGCCCATTTCAGGTGACCCCCGCCGTGATATTGCTGGAATATTGCTAAAAGCGGCGTAAAACCATACTCACTCACTCACTACTCACATACTACATGTGCGTTTCTTTTTTTGAAGAGTTTATGACTCATGATAATACCATGTCTAATATAACGGCAACAAAAATACGTGTAAGATGCAGCGTCATGTCAGCTTGATGGGGAAGAAAATCGGAATTAATGCTTGTCTTTGATGGTTTCCACTTTTGTGAAACCCACGAACACTATATTTGATTTGAGTGAGTGAGTAAGTGAGTGAGTTTGGTTTTACGCCGCTTTTAGCAATATTCCAGCAATATCACGCGGAGGACACCAGAAATGGGCTTCACACGTTGTACCCATGTCGGGATTCGAACCCGAGTTTTCGGCATGACGAGCGAACGCTTTAACCACTAGGCTACCCGACCGCCCTGTTTGATCTGACAAATGAAAGATCACAATCAAGATGAACCTGGTTGTGGAACATTATCTCGTTGATGTCACGGCATGTCAACTAAATGCCTGAAATGACGCAGGTCTCAGATGTTTACCACGTACGAACAAGGGTATGTTGCCGTGAAATGGAGAAACGTATTCATGGTATTCGAAAGAAAACCCAGCTAGATCACAACGAATCGGGACAAGAGTTAGTGATTGAGTATGGTTTTACGCCGCTTTTAGCAATATTCAAGCAATATCACGGCGGGGGACACCAGAAATGGACTTCATACATTGTACCCATGTCGGGAATCGAACCCGGATCTTCGGCGTGACAGTACAAGACAGCGACCTGAAACTTTCTTCCAGCACTGAAGCATTCATGTACCAGTCAAACATTCTTCCAGCCCTGAAACACTTTTTCTGCGATGAAACATTCTTCCAGCCCCGAAACATTCCTATAGCCCCTAAACATTCTTTACACCCTGAAACATTCTTCTAGCCCTAGAACTTTCTTTCCGCCATGAAACATTCTCTTAGCGCCGAAACATTCTTCCTGCCCCGAATCATCCTTCCCTCCCTGAAACATTCTTCCATCTCTGAAACATTCTTCTAGCCCCGAAACATTCTTCTAGCCCTGAAACATTCTTCTAGCCCCGAAACATTCTTCCATCCTTGAAACTTTCTTGACGCCTTGAAACATTCTTCATACCCTGAAACATTCTTCCTTCTCTGAAACATTCTTCTAGCCCCGAAACATTCTTCCTTCCCCGAATCATTCTTCCAGCCCTGAAACGTTCTTGCCGCCTGGAAACATTCTTCCAGCCCTGAAACACTCTTCATACCCTGAAACACTTTTCTAGCCCTGAAACATTCTTCCATCCCCGAATCATCCTTCTAGCCCTGAAACATTCTTCTAGCCCCGAAACATTCTTCCACCCTTGAAACTTTCTTGACGCCTTGAAACATTCTTCATACCCTGAAACATTCTTCCATCTCTGAAACATTCTTCTAGCCCCGAAACATTCTTCTAGCCCTGAAACATTCTTCTAGCCCCGAAACATTCTTCTAGCCCTGAAACATTCTTCTAGCCCCGAAACATTCTTCCTTCCCCGAATCATTCTTCCAGCCCTGAAACGTTCTTGCCGCCTGGAAACATTCTTCCAGCCCTGAAACACTCTTCATACCCTGAAACACTTTTCTAGCCCTCAAACATTCTTCCAGCCCTGAATCATTCTTCCAGCCCTGAAACTTTCTTGCCACCTGGAAACATTCTTCATACCCTGGAACACTCTTCTAGCCCTGAAACTCTCTTCCCGCCCCGAGTCATTCTTCCCGCCCTGAAACATTGTAAACTGCGTCACCTACTGTGTGGTCCAGCTCCAGCTGTTTAACGAGCGCCATCCAGTTTCTCTCTTCATAGTTGACCCTGTAGTAACCGTACTGTTGGACATTCACGACCACCCATGCGTCATTCTGTGAAGGGTCGGGGACAACAGGATCAATGATGTTTTCTGTTGAGAAAATACAATTACATAGCTATTTTCTATATTGAAATGATGACTGTTCCGGATTAGCTGAAATACACACAGCCCCACCCAACCTGTAGTGGCAGTGTTGGGGTGACTGTATCTACACATGTTCCTATGCGGGTTGCGTATAACCCCTACACTAATATCACGTCGTGCCAGCTTGATGGGGGGATGAAAGTCGAAATTATACTTGTCTTTGATGGTTTCCACTTTTGTGAAACCCACGAACACTATGTTTGATCTGACAAATGAAAGATCACAATTAAGCTGAACCTGGAAGACGAACAGTATTTCCACCCACGAGCGGACATAGTTCTAAGGCGCCGCGATTCGCTGTGCAGAGTTGCGTCCCTTGGGCACGCCAGAAACCTATGATTGTGGGTTCGAATCTAGGTTCGCCCCGATTATGTTTCTAAGCGAACCCGTTAAACCCAACTCACTCACTCATTCCACCCATGAACACGGGTATGTTGCCGACAAATGATGAATCTTAATCATGGCGAGTCTGGTATTCGAACCAACGACCGACGTTTCTGCTCAGCTATAGCATTCAAACCATGTCGGTCCCCTGCATTTTGAACGACGCTCTTATGCATCCCCGGGACGGTCGGGTAGCTTAGTGGTTAAAGCGTTCGATCGTCACGCCGAAGACCCGGGTTTGATTCCCGACATTGGTACAATGTGTGAAGCTCATTTCTGGTGTCCCCCGCCGTGATATTGCTGGAATATTGCTAAAAGCGGCGTAAAACCATATTCACTCACTCTTATGCATCCCCGCTGCCGTTCCCTGTTCCCCGCATCGCCGCATTGAACTATACAATTATATTGTATGTCTTCCGCCATCCCAGTGTTTCGAGAAAACATATCCGTTAACGAACGTAAACTACATAATCCTGACATGGCTAAGGGGCGCAACTCATTACAAGGCCATTACTTGTGTAGTCCGCGACATCACATATATTCAATATAGATATTACTTACTCTCTGCTTCTGTCTTTGCCAACCATGCAATGTCGTTGTAGCTGTACTTCTTGTTTAAATTGCTGCTGTTCTTGCTCGAGGCGATTGTGATAGGGATTGTCCATTTGTAACTGCAAAAAGAAAGCATTCCCGTCAGGAAAAGATGACTAGCTTCACTTGATGGATGCCACGTTCGTGGGGGCGTGCAGGCGGGAGGGTGGGCGTGCAGGCGGGTGGGTGGGCGTGCAGGCGGGAGGGTGGGCGTGCGTGGTTTTGCTTGTTGTTTAACGCCGCACTCAAGAATATTCCTGCCGGCCATACGACGCCGGCCTGTATCTAACATGGAGTCTAGACCAGACAATCCAGTGATTTATACTATTAACAAGGAATCACGCCGTCGGCGTACAGTAAACTACGGTTATAACGACTCAAAGTGACAACTAGTTTTAGTTCGTTATAACCGTAGTTCGTTATAAGCATATATACAACAAATGGCTTGGACTAAAAAATAAGTTCGTTATATCAGTCAGTTCGTTATAAGCGTGTTCGTTATAAATGTAGTTAACTGTAATTTGACTAACCGTCAACGAAGTCACCGCGCTGACCACCAGATCCATTTAGTCGCCACTCAGATCAGCGACATTAGAGGTACAGATCAAGTATTTATTTATTTATTTATCACATGACAACACCATTACAATGCCATAAACATCCATTTCGAACACTCGGATCAGGTACAGAACACAACTAAAAACATGTATGGAATATTCTTTCCTGCTGTCGTAAAAGGTGACTATGCTTGTCGTAAAAGGCGACTAACGGGATCGGGTGGTCAGGCTCGCTGACTTGGTTGATGCATGTCATCGTGTCCCAGTTGGGTGGATCGATGATCATGTCAGTCACTGGATTGTCTGGTCCAAACTCAATTATTTACCGCCGTCATTTTAGCTGGAATATTGCAGAGTGCGGCGTTAAACAACAAACAAACAAACAAATCTTTCTGCTTTGAACTTTATCATAGATCTTTTACTTAATTTCGTTATGTTCCTCATCTTCGGCTATTACAAAGTAACTTCATTTTATACATTTAAGGTTTAATATAATAATTATGTATGAGTTGTTTCCTCTCTTTTTGCAAAATGGAGGACAAAAAGTGAAATTCATCACCTGTGTCTTTCAAATGACAGAGGACATTTTCTTTCAGATAATGGTATTTTTCTCCTTCTAGTTTCAACTGGTAAATTGTGATTGGATATTCTGAATTTAAGTAAATGTCTCCAAACGTTTCCATTTGCATTGGACCCGTGAAGATTCCGGGGTAGAATAGGTCTTCAGCAACCAATGCTTGCCGTAAAAGGCGACTATATGCTTGTCGTAAAAGGCGACTAACGGGATCGGGTGGTCAGGCTCACTGACTTGGTTGATGCATGTCATCGTATCCCAATTGCGTGGGTCGATGCTCATGATATTAATCACTGGATTTTCTGGTCCAGACTCGATTATTTACAGACAGCCGTCATATAGCTGGAATATTGCTGAGTGCGGCGTTAAACAACAAACCAACCAACCAATCATTTGTATTGATTAAATAGTTTGCAGATTTAGCTCTTGCAGCGATCCAGCACAGCCTAAAACAAGCGCCAACTAAACAAGGAACAACACTGTATTTACCCATACGGAGCTGTGTCTCCGGTCGTGTTGGAGCTCATGTTGTTGAGGAAGCGTTCCTGACGGACATGGATGGTTCCAGGACCTGTGACCTTGACAGTGACGAGAGGGTAGTTCATCTGTGTAACCCAGGGTTCAAAGATGTCTGTCATGTTGATGGGAGTGCCTTCAGCTATAGATTGCTATGTATAAAGAATAAACAATATATTTTTGGCAGTTCCGATAGATAAAAAAGCACCAATATGCTTTTTTTAAAGGGCAAGGTTCTGTATCACAAAGCAATCTTAGTGCAACGGCTGGCGTAAGTCTTGGATTTTAAGGAAACACTGGGATGTGTTTTAAAGCAAGAAATTGTCGCAAAAAAATAACTATACTTCCGACTGTTGAAACAAAGGATCTGTTAGACACAAAAAATACATTCCTGCCAGATTTGCAAAAACATATATATATCTAGGCTCGTAGTTTTAATTAAAAAATATCTGGTTTTGAGCTGTTGCGCACGCACGCACACACACACACATATACACACACATACACGCACACATACACACATACATACACACACACACGCACACACGCGCACATACACACTTGCTTTACTTTTCCATACTCTATCATTATTTGTGTTGCAGACTATTATGAACCATTTGGATAAATAAACGATAATCGTAAATATCTGAGTGTCGCCGACATCCATACAAAATTAATACCAAAACTGAATTGGTCATTTCAGCATGGATTTGGATTGAATAGTGTGGAAAGAATGGGGTACTGCAGAAATTTGGTGAAAAGATGGAAAAATCGCTAAAAACTACGTGAGAGCCTGGCGCCGAAACACACCAACATGACATGCACGTGCAATATCACTTGTTGGGCTATAAAAACGTTGGGTTTGCATTTGCATGCAATGTTACAGCAAGTGAACAGCGAAAACATGTCACGACTGACGGAAGTCCAACGAAACAACGCCATTGGCTGACTGTAACCATGGAATCATGTGCCAGCTTGTTCGCGGCTTTTCCACGTAGCACCTGGTACCATTACAAAACTGGAACGTTGACGTAAAATTGTGACGTACCTCTGTCAAAGCGTTGAATAAGTCCTTATGTTCAGCAACGCCGTACTGATGTCTCTTCAAATACAGCTGAAAGAGGAATTATTTTTAAAAGTTTTAAAGTAAACACTTAACTCACAAATTCATCTTCCATTATCCAGTGTATCACACCGACAATCTAATCTACTAAATACCCTGGACACAATCGCCACCATAACTTCGTTCGGGAAGTGACCATATCACTTATCACGTGTACGTGAGTGAGTGAGTGAGTGAGTGAGTGAGTGAGTGAGTGAGTATGGTTTTACGCCGCTTTAAGCAATATTCCAGCAATATGACGGCGGGGGACACCAGAAATGGGCTTCACACATTGTACCCATGTCGAGCGAACCCTTTAACCACTAGGTATCCGACCGCCCCGACTTGTACGTGCATCCACGTTTTTTAAAAATTAATTAAGTGTATTAGGTATCAAGATACGGGGAGTGAAGTCACCCCGCTGCAAGATGTTTGCGGAGTTACTCCCCTTGGGTACACCAGGAACCTATGCTCGTGGGTTCGAATCCCGTTTCGTCCCGAATTTGATGTAGGTTTACCTTCGTGGTCTAGTGGTAGAGCGTCCGCCCGGAGAGCGGAAGGTCCGGGTTTCGATCCCCGGCCGCGTCATACCAAAATTCGTTAAAAGATGGTACTTGTTGTTACCCTCTCTGGCGCTAGGCATTAAGGGGCTTAAAAAAGGACTGGTCGACTCGGAGTCAGTATACTGTGTCTGAGTGGGGTATCCATGTTAAACTGTGGCATAGTATCTCAGTGTGCTAGCACTATAAATCGGCATGAGTCCGGACTAGTGGTCCTTGAACAAGCAGCCGCACACACACACAAACACATGTGCATGCACGTCGCTATATAAGTGTATTATCTTGGACGCGACGTTAAACCCAATTTCACCTCACCTCACCACTTCATCAAAATACCCCCCGAAAGGCAGAAGAGTTTCCCAACAAAGGACACAGAAGGATAAGGGCCGTTTTAGGCACACTGGAAATGTCCAATTGGGAAAATCAACATTTGGATCCAACCATCGGGGGGTATTTTGATGAAGTGGTGAGGTGAGGTGAAATTGGGTTTAACGTCGCGTCCAAGATAATACACTTATATAGCGACTAAATATGGTTTTACGCCGCTTTTAGCAATATTCCAGCAATATCACGGCTCGGGACACCAGAAATGGGCTTCACACATTGTACCCATGTCGGGAATCGAACCCGGGTCTTTGGCGCGACGAGCGAACGCTTTAACCACTAGGCTACCCGACCGCCCCTTTGCCATATGCACTGTACATTTATACTTACCGCTTAATCTTTATTTTCTCAAGAAAATCATCCAGAGTCAAAGACTGAAATAGTTCGGAAATCAGCACTTTGGATTAACTGACACATTTAGTGTTGTAATAGGTCCAAAACAACATGTGTTGAAATGAACAAAGTCTAGGCTCCTTTACATGAACCAGGGTGTACTCTGCTGTCAATATCACTGTTTTTGTACACGTTCTAAAATCAAACCATACTTACGTTCAGCCCTCTGATGAAAAGTTCCTCTCCCATGGTGAAGTGCATCATTCGAACGACGCTCGCTCCCTACAAGGTATAGCATAAGGGTTTGATTTGCAGTTTACATCATGTATGCATGCACAATGCACAGGAATAGATTATAATGGTAGGTTCGAATACAGATCTTGACCTTCAAGGTGACAGGCTATGTAACGAGACGCGTGTAAAGGACCTTTGGACTCTCGTTTAACGTAAAACGGCCGATGTAATGTGACCATGTACTAAATGCGTCTTAAACTTGTCTCATATACTCACTCATTTTATGCCAAACCCATATCCTCACAGTGCTAATTTGAAGTTAATATCATAAAGACCTGTCCACATTTAAACAATAATTGACTGATAGCGATATGATGCACTAATGTTAAACGTGTCGTCATGCCTGACACTCATTTTGTGTTAAATATGTTACGATATGCAGTTTATTTGACGCATAATTCGATATTACAATTGCAGTCTGTTTGAAGCGACGTTAAACATCCACGTACCCACTCAACCATTTCGCACAGAATAACGGTTAGGAGAAGGTCGAAATGACGGTGTCGAAACCAATAAAGTATTGTCTACACAAGAAATAGAAACCATTACAGCAATTTCAACACGAGACAGTACACCCAGCTCGCACAGAATGACGGTTAGGAGAAGGTCGAAATGACGGTGTCGAAACCAATATAGTATTGTCTACACAAGAAATGACAGAGCTCGCCCGGAATGAGGTTTGTGAGACACTTAACAGAAGGTCGAAATGACGGTGTCGAAACCAATATAGTATTGTCCACACAAGAAATAGAAACCATTACAGCAATTTCAACACGAGCCAGTACAACCAGCTCGCACAGAATGACGGTTAGGAGAAGGTCGAAAAGACGGTGTCGAAACCAATAAAGTATTGTCCACACAAGAAATAGAAACCATTACAGCAATTTCAACACGAGACAGTACACCCAGCTCGCACAGAATGACGGCCGTGAGAGGCTTAGAAAGAAGATCCAAATGACAGTGTCGAAACCAATAAATTATTGTCAACACAAGAAAAGACAGAGCTCGCCCAGAATGACGGTCGTGAGAAGCTTAGAAAGAAGGTCGAAATGACAGTGTCGAAACAATAAAATTAACACAAGAAAAGACAGAGCTTACCCGGAATGAGGTTTGTGAGCGTCTTCGCAGAAGGTCGACATGACGATTGTGGAAAACAATAAATATTGAGTGATCTCCTGACCTCTCTGTTACTCAAGAGTCGGTATACTGTGTCTGAGTGGAATATCCATGTCAAACTATGGCACGGTTCGCAATGGGCTAGCGTTTTAAAACCGGAAATAGTCCAGAATATAGTACAGGAAAGCACGCACGCACGCACGCACGCACGCACGCACGCACACATGACGTTAAACACCATTAAACCTACCCCCCCCCCCCCCCCCCCCCCCCCCCCGACCCACCACTCCATCAGTCACTCATACCTTGGTGTATGTGATGGAGTCAAAGGAGCCCTCCACTTCCGCGTTACTCTCGACGTCGTTCGTCATTGGGTGCGACGTCTGCAGCCCGTCTTCGACCATCGTAGCATGCATGGACTGGACTACGAACTGCTCCGTCTGTGGCAGAGAGAAGAACATACGATCAGTTTGGTTATATCTTTGTCTGTTGTTTAACGCCGTACTCAGCACTATTCAAGCTATATGACGTTGCCAGTAAATAATAGATTCTGAGCCACACAATCCAGTGATTGTTAGTATGAGCAACGATCCACGAAGTCGGGGACGTTGATACCCATCAACCAGGTCACCGAGCCTGAACCTCTGAGGCGCCTCTTACGATCAGAATGGGTTGTTAAGGGCCAATATTCTCCCCTGGAATTCTCAAGGGTAGCACTGTATAAGATCACAAATTGACTAATATGGTACTCGGATTGCCACTCACCGATCTCCTGCGTGGGTAGATGGCCTCCACCGCATGGAAGTCCCAGAAAGAAGCGAAGGACTCGTTCAGCCACAGCCACCACCACCACTTGGGGGACACGATGTTGCCGAACCACTGCAACATTCAAACAGCAATAAATACACTCACGGAGAAACACGATACACTATATATACATCAACAGCAATATACTGGTTTACACACATGAAGAAACACGATACACTATACCTCAACAGCAATATACTGGTTTACACTCACGGAGAAACACGATACACTATACCTCAACAGCAATATACTGGTTTACACACATGAGGAAACAAGATACACTATATATACATCAACAGCAATATACTGGTTTACACACATGAAGAAACACGATAGTCTATGCCTAACAAGCCAATAAAGCGGGCACGAGTGGCCCAGTCGTCTAAGAGCAGAGTTGCGTCCCTTGGGCACGCCAGAAACCTATGATTATGGGTTCGACTCCCGGTTCTCCGCGATTATGTTTCTATGTTTGTCATCACCATACCCGTACTTGTGGGTTTCACAGAAGTGCTAAACGTCTGAGACCTGCATCACTTCGGGCTTTCCTCCCACATTAAGCTGACACGCCAGGATATAACTGGTATACTGTTAAAAGCGGCGTTAAACCCAACTCACTCACTGAAGCCTCATATCTAAATGAGTGCAAAAATCTTGAACGCGACGCTAAACCATTTCACCTCATCTCAACTCCAGGCCGCCGGAGTAGTAGCTGGAATAATGCTGGTGCGGGCTAAACAACAAACTGCTTAATACGGAAGGGATTTTCGCTGTATATTGAACAAAGGAGTGCAAGTTATCTGCAAATGTATTTTCATTAATCCGCTCTGTGCATAATAAGTTGCCTTCATGCTGATTGTCTAATTGTTCCATTATCTATAAGTGTGTGTATATATAAAAGGTTAAGATCTTATTTATCATCTAAAATCCCTATTCCAACTTTTTCAGTTTGTAATCCGTAACAATCTCATTAAAATCAGATCTAAGTTCACTCTGCCGCTAAACAAAGATCTGAGGACATCCAATTACGGGTCACGTAAGAACGACCTTTCGCGAACGGGAAGCGAGAGATAGACGATAATTTTGACGGAATCGGTCGTATGGGCCGTAACTGTCGTTCGGAATACCCCATGTTAACTTTTTCGAAGTTGCATGATTAGAAAACACATTCCGACTGTACTTTCATGATCTGGTAAGCGACGCTTTGATTGATCGGAAGAAAGGTCGTTCTGACGTGACCCGTAATGGGATGTCCTCAGATCTTTGTTTAGCGTTAGCGAGAACTTAGATCTGATTTTAATGAGTTTGTAATCCGTAATAACTTGTGTCTTGCGTGTAACTAGTACAGCTAACTAACCTTAATTATATTACTGATATCATGTCATTGTGACGTCATGTAACCGATGACGTCACATTGGTCTGCCAGGCATTGTGATGCAATTTTATTGCAGCGATTATCCCTTGATCTCACCCGTCTCTCACGTGACAGCCAGGATGATAAATATAACGTGCTCTCTTTCGAATCGGGCTCTAGAGAATGATGCGTTTGTATGCACAATAACTTGTCAACGCCCTTGTCTTAAGCTTAGAGAACTTTTAAAACCTCCAGTGTTTTATTAGAGCGGAGTTTCGTCATAGAGTACAAAGGTGTGTTTTGATAATATCACATATATGAAGTTTAACATTTGCCGACAGTCTCATAGATAGTGGGTGCTAGTGCTGGCCATGTCTTGGTAGGAGATTGGTCTCAGGACTGTATCATATTTTGATGACCCCCTCATTTTATGGTTTTTAAATAACATTTTAATATGCCCACACCCACGCCCCTACACCCCACTACACTCAATCATACATGTAACATGTTTTCACAAGTTACAATCAGCAAAGCACTTTGTTGCACTCATAATCGTTCAAAACTTTCGAAGTAATGAAATGTCTCTGTATTTATTTACAGTCGTAATTGTGACGCTACGTATGCGGATGTGGTACAGATTTGAAGAATACCTGTTTGGCAACCTGGTGGCTCGAAGCTCTCATACTGCTGATCAAACCAACCGTGGAACCAGTTTAACCTTGACCTACCTGGTGAGTAATCTCGTGCGAGATCACCTCCACGACCCAGCTGTCTTGAGCTGCTGTGGACACGCCCACCTCGTATAGGAGCGTCTCACTGTAGGTTATGAGACCCCAGTTCTCCATGGCACCGGATCTGAACCCGGGGATGGCGATGTTGTCTGCACAGATGGTATTATTTTTATAGAGAACCTTAATACAAACAGGTATTGTAGAATGGAAATGCAAAAAGACACACACAAATGCACAGACACACATATGCACAAAGACACACAAATACAAATAGACACACAAAGGCACAAAGACCCACAAAGACCCACATAAACACAAAGACACACAAATACAAATAGACACACAAATGCACAAAGACACACAAAGACTCACATATACACAAAACACAAAAGACACACAGACACACACATGCACAGACAGACAAATACACACAGACAAACAAATACTAAAAGACACAGACACACAAAAACACAAAGACACACAAACTTCACAAAGACACACACATGCACAGACACACAAAACACAAATACACAAAGACACACATATACACAAAACACACAAATACTCAAAGACACACAAATACACAAAGACATACAGATGCACAGAGACACACAAATACACAAGACACACAAATCCAAAAAGACACAGACACACAAATCCACATGACACACAAATCCAAAAAGACACATACACACAAATCCAAAATGACACAGACACACAAAGACACAGACACACAAAGACCCAAGACACAAATACATAAAACACATAAATACACAAAGAAACACAAATACAAAAAGACACAGATACACAAATACATAAAAGACACGCAAAGACTCACATATACACAAAACGCACAAAGACACACACATGCACAGACAGACAAATACACAAAGACACACAAATGCACATACACACAAAGACACAAATACATAAAACACACAAATACACAAAATACACAAATGCACAAAGACACACAAGCACAAACACACATAAATTCACAAACACACACAAACACACACAAATGCACAAAGACACATAAACACAAAGACTCACACATGCACAAAGACACACAAACAAAAAAGACACACAAATGCACAAAGACAAACAAACACAAACACACACAAATACACAGCAACACAATGAGTTACCAAAAGACTCAGACACACGACCATAGACCATCTTCTACATTTAATATTGAAGGCACCACTCCTTTATAATAGTTCTTTACTTCAGTGTGTCGTCAGTATCTGCATGTGAAATTAACCTCAGTTTGATACAAGGCTAAGATAACTGATGATCCTCCAGATGGTCACAACGACTTCAGATATTTAATGAAATTAAAAAGCGTATTGAAATAGTGACTACTTTTTGCCACATATTTGATACAAAAGATGTCAGTACACGGCATCTGTATTTAAATATGATTTTGTCACTTTCTAAGCGACATTTTATATGGAGATCTATGGTATTTTAGAGAGATAGTAAATAATTTTCATGTATACATGACAAAAGTGAAATCGTCCACATACCAAGTTTAGTGATGGGGTAGTCAGGCTCGAATGTCTTCTCGAACCAGTCGAACAGAGCAATGCCATACTTCTGGGCCCTGTCGGCGTGCTGCAGGGCATTTGGGCGGGCCAGCGTGCGGTACTGCAACGACATGGAACACGTCATCATCATCATCATCATCATCATCATCATCATCGTCGTCATTGTCATCGAATCATCATCATCATTATCATCATCGTCGTCATAGTCATCGTCATCGAATCATCATCACTACCATTGTTGTTATTATTATATATGTAATTTGCAAGTTCTGCATACCAGTTATGATGATAAGTTCTGTTATCGTCTTAATTGTAATTCATAATATTATTATCATCATCATTGTCGCAGTGAACATCATTTAGTTTATCGATATTATGCATCAGGTTCATTCTTCCCCAGGTCTTAAGGTGTGTGTGTGTGTGTGTGTGTGTGTGTGTGTGTGTGTGTGTGTGTGTGTGTGTGTGTGAGTGAGTGAGAGTGAGTGTGTATGTGAGAGAGTGAGAGAGTGTGTGTGACAGTGTGTGTATGTGAGAGTGTGTGTGTGAGAGTTTGATTGAGAGTGTGTGAGAGAGTGAGTATGTGTCAGAGTGTGTGTGAGTGTGTGTGTGAGAGAGAGGGTGTGTGTGAGTGTGTGTGTGTGTGTGTGTGTGTGTGAATGAGAGTGTATGTGCGAGTGTGAATGTGTGCGAGTGTGTGCGTGAGAGAGAGTGTGTGTGTGAGTGTATGTGACTGTGTGTGTGTGTGAGAGAGAGGGTGTGTGAGTGAGAGTGTATGTCAGACTGCGTGTTGCGAGAGTGTGTGTGTGTTAGATAGTGTGTGTGAGAGTGTGAGTGTGTGTGACTCTGTGTGTGTATGTGAGAGAGAGGGAGAGTGTTATGAGACTGTGTGTGTGAAAGAATGTATTGTGTGAGAGAGAGAGTGTGTGTGTGTGTGTGTGAGAGAGAGAGAGTGAGTGTGTATGTATGTGAGAGAGTGTGTGTGACAGTGTGTGTGTGTGTGTGAGAGTGTGTGAGAGTGTGTGAGAGAGTGAGTATGTGTGAGAGTGTGTGTGAGTGTGTGTGTGAGTGAAAGTGTGTGTGAGAGTGTGTGTGTGAGAGAGTGTGATAAGTATGAAACAACCTGGTCGGGTGTAACTATATGGAAGGATGTTGGTTGGTTGGTTTGTTGTTTAATGCCGCACTCAGCAATATTCCAGCTATATGACGGCGGTCTGTAAATAATCGAGTCTGGACCAGACAATCCAGTGATTAATATCATGAGCATCGATTCATGCAATTGGAATCGATGACATGCATCAACCAAGTCAGCGAGCCTGACTACCCGATCCCGTTAGTCGCCTTTTACGACAAGCATAGTCACCTCTTACGGCAAGCACGGGTTGCTGAAGACCTATTCTACCCCGGATGGAAAGGATGTCGGTAGGACGTTGCAGCACGTCTCCCTTTCAACGGAATGTTAAACCATTATAAAGACGACACACTAATAATGGTGCAATTCATACTCAATCAGTAACTCACTGGCCTTTCTGAACGTGCATCTAACGTTGAGGCAACTTGAGGTCATTGTGCAAATTTTAGAGAACTTATATGTCAACCATAACATGGTTTTAGTCGAAGCAGAATCAACAGATTCTCATACTTTCTTCATTACGTAATCCATATCTAAGTGTAGAGGCCCGGCGTAAACGTGATATACAATTATATTTAGACCATTCAAGGAGGTCATCGAACAATACTCAAAGGCTGGAAGAACTGGAGCAACACGTGACCTAAATACGTCACAACGGAATTGGCATCATCATGAGATCAGTGTTTTAATTACCAGATAACACCTAGTGTTTAAAAAGTGTCGCTTAGAACAGCACTATGGTGTAAGCTGGTGTAAAACTCATGGAACAAGGTGAGGTGAAATGGGGTTTAACGTCGCGTCCAAGATTATTGCACTGATATAGCGACGTGCATGCACGTGTATGTATGTGTGTGGCTGCTTGTACTAGTCCGGACTGATGCCGATTTATAGTGCTAGCACACTGAGATACCATGCCGCTGTTTAACATGAATACCCCACTCAGACACAGTATACTGACTCCGAGCCGACCAGTCCTTGTTTTAGCCCCTTAATGCCGAGCGCCAGACGGGGTAACAACAAGTACCATCTTTTAACGTCTTTTGGTATGACGCGGTCGGGGATCGAACCCCGGACCTTCCGCTCTCCGGGCGGACGCTCTACCACTAGACCACGGAGACGGCCCATGGAACAAGGCGTAATAAGGACAAGTTACCGTTATATTTGAGGTGGTGTTTTCCCATTGGTCAAAGTCGCATACGATGAAGGCGAGGAGATATGTTGACATTACCGGTGTCGTTGCAAACTTATCAGCTGTATAGTTGCCTCTGTAAAAGACAACATGCAGGAGTTGACATCACAGCTTTAATAGGAGATTTCACCAGTTAATTGTATGATGGAGGATACACTTGAGCGTCGAAGTTATTTTCAATTTACAAATATTAAAGTGGTAAGGAAAGTGAAATTGAAGTTAAACAAGAATTTTATCAGGTGAAAAAACAGATAGTTCCTCGCTAAACTTCATCTCTATACCACCTCACTATACCACCTCACCTGGTCTCACAACACATGACGTGTGTATTGGTTTTGTTGGTCCTCTTTATACCACCCTGTTATACTCACCTTGTCTCACTAGGGACGGCGTCTGTATTGGTCTTGTAGTTCCTCACTATACCATCTCACCTGGTCTCACTGGATACAGCTTCTGTATTGGTCTTGGAGTTCCTGACTATACCATCTCACCTGGTCTCACTGAACACAGCGCCTTTATTGGTCTTGTATTTCCTCACTATACCATCTCACCTGGTCTCACTGGATACAGCGTCTGTATTGGTCTTGTATTTCCTCACTATACCACCTCACCTGGTCTCACTGGATACAGCGTCTGTATTGGTCTTGTATTTCCTCACTATACCATCTCACCTGGTCTCACTGGATACAGCGTCTGTATTGGTCTTGTATTTCCTCACTATACCACCTCACCTGGTCTCACTGGATACAGCGTCTGTATTGGTCTTGTATTTCCTCACTATACCACCTCACCTGGTCTCACTGGATACAGCGTCTGTATTGGTCTTGTATTTCCTCACTATACCACCTCACCTGGTCTCACTGGATACAGCGTCTGTATTGGTCTTGTATTTCCTCACTATACCACCTCACCTGGTCTCACTGGATACAGCGTCTGTATTGGTCTTGTATTTCCTCACTATACCATCTCACCTGGTCTCACTGGATACAGCGTCTGTATTGGTCTTGTATTTCCTCACTATACCACCTCACCTGGTCTCACTGGATACAGCGTCTGTATTGGTCTTGTATTTCCTCACTATACCACCTCACCTGGTCTCACTGGATACAGCGTCTGTATTGGTCTTGTATTTCCTCACTATACCATCTCACCTGGTCTCACTGGATACAGCGTCTGTATTGGTCTTGTAGTTCCTCACTTTACCACCTCACCTGGTTTCACTGGACACGGCGTCTGTATTGGTCTTGAAGTGCCTCACTTTACCACCTCACCTGGTCTCACTAGACACGGCGTCTGTATTAGTCTTGTAGTTCCTCACTTTACCACCTCACCTGGTCTCACTAGACACGGCGTCTGTATTAGTCTTGTAGTTCCTCACTTTACCACCTCACCTGGTCTCACTAGACACGGCGTCTGTATTAGTCTTGTAGTTCCTCACTATACCATCTCACCTGGTCTCACTGGATACAGCGTCTAAATTGGTCTTGTATTTCCTCACTATATTACCTCACCTGGTCTCACTGGATACAGCGTCTGTATTGATGTTGGAGTTTCTCACTATACCATCTCACCTGGTCTCACTGACCACAGCGTCTGTATTGGTGTTGGAGTTTCTGACTATACCGCCTCACCTGGTCTCACTGGATACAGCGTCTGCATTGGTCTTGGAGTTCCTCACTATACCATTTTTACCTGGTCTCACTGGACACAGCTTCTGTATTGGTCAGTGTCCGGTAGTTCCGTCCAGTGGTCACCTTCTTGACCAAGGTAATATCAAAGGTCGCCTTCAGAGCTGGTTCATCAAAGCATGGGAATGCTTTCCTCGCATGAGGTGCCTCGAACTGAGTGGATGCTAGGTAACTGAACGAAAAACAAATATTATTTATCAAGATGGCCAAAGTACTCCTTCACGAAACCTCAAAATTAGATTTTAAAAAAATAGATTTTTACGAAAATATGTATTACGCTAACACACAAAAAGTCGTTCATTCATGCAGGTGTTGACATGGGTATGCAAATTCTAAATCAATAGTTAAATAAATTATATCTTCATGGTATTTTATAATCGATATTTGTCATAATTTGGCAAATAGAATAGCTCTGACGTCATCTCAGCACCAACGACTTACATGGTTTCATTCAAATCCGTCTTGTAGGAACTGAGATACAGACCCAACCCGTCGGTTCTCATTTTGGCTTGAAAACTCATCCCGACTTCATATGACCTTCCGGGTTGGAGGTCATTGTCAAGGTGAAGGACGTAAAATTCCCTGACCTCGTCATAACTTGTGCTGACAATAGCCGGGCCCCTATCACTCAGGTTGTCAAGAGGTCGAAAGGATAAGGAGTCGTTATCAATCGTTAGATCGTTTTTGTGCAAGGTCACGTTAGACGTCGCCTCCGTTACGTTGAGGACAATAGAAACTGTCCCGTTAAAAGTAAAGAGAGACGAGTTCGTGCCGTATATCTCGGGTTGGAGTTCAAGGACGTAGTGATAAGGTTTTACAGCCGTTGGGAGACGGTAGTTGATGATGGGGGCTGGTGTTGTAGTAGTCGTTGTTGTAGTGGGCGCCGTTGCTGTCGCTGTCGCTGTCGCTGCTGCTGTTGTTGTTTTCTTGGAACACGCGTCACCTGATGGAAGTCATGCAGATATTAATACTTCCGAAGTGATAATTAATAAGTTCTTAATTACATTTTATGTTTACAATGACTTTGTAGAACAACTCCATATTCAAGTCTGACAGAACATATGGTATTCATTTAACTTTATATCAAAAATATTTAAGTTATAATTTCTAGATTATATAAATAATACGTACAAGTTGCCACTACCAGAGACTGGTTCTGAACTCTCCGGTTACCTAGACTTGCCTATCATAAGGACAGAATTACTATACACTCATGGACTTATCATTCAGTACAGCCTTGGAGCAAGGCAAGGTGTTCATTAATATCTGTAATATTTTTCCCCCGATATGTCTAATTTATAAGAAGAGGTACTACCATAAGAGGCCTTCATCCTTACAGCTATTTTCTTTAACACAAAAAACAAAATTTAAATATTTGCTTACAAACTTTAAGATCACCGCCATCTACAAGCCCCACGCAGCGTGCCCGGAGTTCCTCCGGCTTGAGTGGAGGTGTCGCTACAGTGGGCGTGTCGCACGTGCAGATAACCTGACCAGGGGATACCAGGTGAACAACGAGTCCTACCAGCACGGCCAGACATGCGGCCAGAAGCAGAAGGATGAACCCCACCCCATGGCTGATGTAAACTCCGCCGCTGCGCTTCTCATCTGACATCGGAGCGGTACCGTTTGGAGTGGTACCGTTTGTGTCGGTGACGGTATAATCTCGCATTGATTCAGATGCGGTGAACTGGGGAATGGCAGAGGTTGATTATAAAAAACGGATATATCGAAATATGGTTGTATTAAATAAATACAGATATAAGTCGAACTTTTTGTCGAACAATTGGGTCATACAACTATGGATATGTCGCACACCAGATTAATAATACAACTACGAATATTTCGAAATTGTATGGGATTAACTGCGGATATGTCGAATTCAAGTTAGTTTATACAACTATGGGTATGTCGACCTTCACTCTGACCATACCACTACGGATATATCGATCTTCATATTTAAATGTGGTTCGCGATGATCCATCACTGTTGGTCGTGTCTCCCTTCACTCTACTTCACTATCAATGTAAAGACTATCTGCAGAATTACTTTAAGACAGGTATATGGATTTCAGAGTTAAAAAAATCTGTTGTAAAAATGATGTTGTTAGAAAGAGTGTTTTAATAAAGCATTAAACTAAATGTTATTTAAGTGTTTGTCTTTTATTTCTTAAAAAGCATTAATTAGGACCAGTCATGTCATTTAGACATCATGGCTTCTAATGGAAAGACGACAAAAGCATTGGAGCATTCCATCCTCGTGGAAGTGGTGCCGTTTATGGAAGGAGTAAATTTTATGAAAGCTTAAAACGACGTAATAAGAAGCCATCTCTTAGTCAGGTGAAGTCGTTTTTAAGCTTACACCCTTCACCCAAGCCGATGAGATATAGATTTTCTCGGCTGAGAGTACGGGTTAATAGCCTAGAATGAACAGTTGGATGTAGACTTGATGGACATGTCTTAATATACAAGAGCCAACAATGGCGTACGGTATTTGCTTATTGTCATTGAAAATACTGTCTCGCTATCTGTGGGTAGCTCCTATGAAAAATCAAAAAAATCCAGAGACAGTGGTCGAGATATTTAAAAAAATATTGTCTGGTGATCGAACAACACAAAAGTTTAGAGTGGATAAAGGAACAGAATTTAAAGGATTATTTTTCAGGATTTTACCAAGAGTAGATGAATCGAACTGTTTGTCACTCAAAACGAAGACATTGAATCCAATTATGCAGAGAGGGTCATTAGAACGTTAGGGGGGCACGGGTGGCCCAGTCGTCTAAGGCGCCGCGATTCACTGTGCAGAGTTGCGTCCCTTGGGCACACCAGAAACCTATGATTGTGGGTTCGAATCTCGATTTGCCCCGATCATGTTTCTAGGTTTGTCGGCACCATACCCGTGCTCGTGGGTTTCACCGAAGTGGTCTGCGACCTGCACCACTTCGGGCTTTCCTCCTACATTAAGCTGACACGCCGTGATATAACTGGAATACTGTTAAAAGCGGCGTTAAACCCGACTCACTCATTAGAACGTTAAGATCTCTTATACCTCGCTATGCTACTCCGTCATATAGCTGGAATATTGCTGAGTGCGGCGTAAAACAACCAACCAACGCTATTTGACACACAGTAATACCGAACGCTACATCGATGTATTGGCCGAATTGGATTACAATTACAACCATACCATACATTGAAGTTTAGGAAAGGGGTCGCCTGCAGACGTAACGGAAGAAATGGACTCAAAGCGTGGTCTCACCTGTACATGACACCATTTTCAAGTCCACTTATTAAAAAACAACTTTCACTATAAAGTATGAGATATTGTAAGAATCAGTTATTTGAGAAAGCCGTTCAACTTGCGATGGACACAAGAATTACTTAAAATAGATTCCAGGAGTCGTCAACAAGGTGTTCCTTTATACACACTGAAAGACTTTCAAGAGGGACGTTTACAAGGTCGGTGTTACGAACAAGAGCTTCAGAAAGACCCCGTATGGGATATTGAAAAGGTATTGAAGAAGAAGAAAGAAAGGGGTAGAGTCGACTATTTAGTGAGGTGGGCTGGTTGGCCTCCCAGTTTTCATTCATGGTTGGAAGAGAGTGATGTCAGGGATCTATAATAATGGAAAAATACATCGTGTTCAACAGTTCAGACTCCAAAAGCTACTTTCCCAACAACACACACTTTCAGTTCCGAATGAAACTGTCACAAAGATTAAAACCAGAAGGCGAGTGGATGGTTGCCTTGTTTGAATTGAGGCTGGGTGAAGTGGACCTCAAGGACATAAACAATACTACTATAGACATTCTTTGCAATCTCAGCGATAGTTCGCACGTAGGGGAGAATTATCTACCCTTGTTAAGACGGATCTATGTGCGTGATGGAAACAGTTATATTTTTCAACAACCTTGGTAGATGCCAGTCATTCTGAAAGAAACAGCGGATATCGATGTGTATATTAAGTATGCACATGGAACCCCTCACACATTTCTGAAAGAACCAGTGATATGTCACTTGTGCAGCATCCTTCAACATTACTACAAAAACATTCGACCTCTGTCCGTGATCACAGATTCCAGTCCTGTGGAATTTCACTAGCCATGCTCAAGCCTCCCTCATTCCTTGCTATTATTCAGATCATCCTTACAGTGTACCCTACCACACTTTCCTGTCACAAAAATCACCCGACGAATGATTAAATACCATATCATTCATGCGAACTCGCGAGTTCGACGTCTGACGTGTGACGCCTTGAGACGTTTTCAGTTCGCGTGCCACATAGGCTAATTCCTCGCCACTCGGTATCTTGTAGATTACGGAATGGGACGAGTGTGCCAAATGGCATCGGGATCATTCGTAAGTGTCCGTAGACTAAAGTCACGAGACACCATGCCTACCCGTAACCTTCGTAAGTGTCCGTCACCTATTCGACCCTTTTCGTTCAGTTCCGTAACGTCATAGGGATGACTAGGTAAATTTACACTAAGTTTCACAGTGTGGACGTAGCTCAGTCGGTGAGCTGTCGGGCTAACAATCCGAAGGTCGAAAGTTCGCGTCCGACGGATTCTCACCCAAACTGGTTGCTTGTCTTTGAGACATGTGACCTACTACAGAGAACGTCCTCACGAGAAGTTGTGGTACTGTATTCTAAAGGTGCTCCGTCTGGGTGGCCTTCGATAGGTGTCAATCCGAGATAGCGTTATAGACGTGTACATAGCGTTATAGTCGAATGCATCTTGCGCCCAAATTGTAATGTGTGTGTATGTATGATCCGTGTATCGTGTTTACATGGATCTGTTGATCGCAATTCAAAGAGACTATTCGCAGACATTGAAGTACCTTTAGAATACAGTACCACAACTTCTCGTGAGGACGTTCTCTGCAGTAGGTCACTCACCCAGTCCTTTGTGATGCTTCACAAACATCTTTTCAATACCAAACCAAAGTGAGGTTTCTCCGTTCTATTGCACACTCAAGTCGTTCAACTCTTTGTACCCTTCGCAACTGTGTTGACTTTCCTTTTCTTCCTATGAATAAAATCGCTCTGTCATCACGGTTCAGACGCTTTTCTACTATCAGAGGGGCAACAAAAAGAGAATCTCACCCAGGTGGTTTTTTTTATATATCAAATATATCAACGAGTGTTGATATATTTGATATCAAAAGACACGAGGATGTTATTCTATTTATCATACTACGTCATTCTCCAAACTTTTTCAGTTTGTAGACAGTAATAAGCAGTGTCTTAACCCTCATGTTGCCTGGACAGTTATGCCCCCTTCACATACACGGACTTTTCTTCCTATGAATAAAATCGCTCTGTCATCACGGTTCCGACGCTTTTCTACTAGTCACGTTGGTCATTAACGAAAATGGTAATGGAAACTGAAAACAGTCTCGATTGACGATTAAATAAGAAGATCGATATACCCGTAGTGGTATGGTCAGAGTGAAGATCGACATATCCGTAGCTGCATGACCAAACTGAATTTCTACATATCCGCAGTTAATTCCATACAATTTCGAAATATTCGTAGGTGTATGATTAATCTGGTATGCGACATATCCATAGTTGTATGATCCAATTGTTCGACAACAAGTTCGACTTTGTCTGCACAACTGAAAGACTTAGCACACACACACACACACACACACACACACACACACACACACACACACACACACACACACACACACACACACACACACACACACACACACGCACGCAGTCACGCACACACACAAACACACGCACACACACACAAACACTCAAAACACACATGCATGAACACACATAAGCACATGCATGTATTAATAAACATACATGCGCGCACGCACACACATACACACACACGCACGCAGGCACGCACGCACGCACGCACGCACGCACACACACAATCTCAAAACGCCCAACAACCATACCCCGTACCAATTGTGACATTCTAAGAATATTTTTAAACAACACATATCCTGTCTTGTTTGATAGGCATTACTTAGGAGTTGACGGATGACAAGGTAGACAAAATTTTATTGATAACAACTTCTTTAATACTGTAAAAAGTGAATTTCGGTATAGATTCTTATACCATTGTCAAGCAAGACTGTATAAGATGTATACCGTTGTCTTGCTTGACAGTAAGGATTTATGCCGAAATTCGCTCTTTGACAGTATCAAAGAAGTTGTTGACGGATGAAAAGGTAGACACAATTTTATGGATAACAACTTCTTTTACACTGTAAAAAGCGAATTTGGGTATAGATCCTTATACCATTGTCAAGCAAGACTGTATAAGACTTATACCGTTGTATTACTTGACGACGGTATTAGGATCTATACCGAAATTTGCTTTTTACAGTATTAAAGAAGTTGTTATCCCTAAAACTGTGTCTACCTTAACACATATACTAATAACACTAATACACCGTAAAATGAGCATTTATATAACACAATAAAGCACTTCTAAGTTAATAATTTCTATCCAAACCAACCTTATTGCAACACAGAAGTCCGACAACTCATCCACAAGTCATCCGCCAACTATCTTTGACCACCCTGGTTATAGATCACGTGAACACTCCGTGGACATGCGCAGTGTTGAACGGCTGTACATAACAATATATCGATTCAATATTTTCTTGGTACAGAATATGCTTCGTCACCTGTGCCTATGCATATGAGGGTGGTTGAACGGGTATTGAGGGTCCCTGGATGTGGAGTGTCGTCTCGGCTTGTATATATACTGTCACTCCTGCGCTTAGGTAAACACAGCCTCAGACAGCTGGGTATAACCCCGCTTTGAACTGCAACTCAGTATGATTGGTTGGTTGGTTTGTTGTTTAACGCCGCACTCGGCAATATTCCAGCTATATGACGGCGGTCTGTAAATAATCGAGTCTGGACCAGACAATCCAGTGATTGAAATCATGAGCATCGAACTACGCAATTGGGATACGATGACATGCATCAACCAAGTCAGCGAGCCTGACCACCCGTTAGTCGCTTTTAACGATAAGCAAGGGTTGCTGAAGACCTATTCTACCCCGGAATAATTCAGTATGAATAAACAATGCAATTTAGAAAGTGGTCAGATGTAACAAATATTATATTTGGTTAACACTTCCTTAGTAAAGTACAAATTCTAGTGTGGCATTGTCTATCCATAGTTTTCGGCATGGGAGCCGTGCCAGTTTACACTTATCAGAGGGGCAACAAAAAGAGAATCTCACCCGGGTGGTTTTTTTATATCAAATATATCAACGAGTGTTGATATATTTCATATCAAAAGACACGAGGGTGTTATTCTATTTATCATACATTATAATTCTCCAAACTTTTTCAGTTTGTAGACAGTAATAAGCAGTGTCTTAACCCTTCTGTTGCCTGGACAGTTATGCCCCTTCACATACACGGATTTTTCTTTCGAGTCCTTACGGAGCTCACAAATTGACGGACTTTTACGACCGATTTAAGAGTTGTTACGAGTTATTACGAGCTATTTGCGGTTTATTACGGATTATTACGAGTTATTACGATGTATTTACGGCAAAATTCCACGAGTTACGAGTGTTACAACGTTATTATTTCTTCACACAGTGTAACCAAATTGTATAACATGCAACTCTTTCTATCAGTATCTAAAGTCACCAAATCCAAAAGATCTATGCACTGCCTAGCCCTCGATTAAAGTGCTTGTATTATAAGTTTCCTACTGTTCTACCTGGTTTTCAGTTATTATGTCTTTCCTTTTTACAGCTACAGCTTGGCGGTAAGATGTACAAATTGAAATGGTGAAAAATAATCACACGAATGCGTTGATTTGCTCGTTGACAAATATTTATTTTAAAAAAAATCTATTTCATACAGAGGATACAAAACAAAATAATTACTACTATGTCACTGATCGAAGTACTTGATAATTTAGATAATGCTAAGTGAAGAAAACATGAATAAAACTAGTATATAAAACATCAAAACGAAATCACATTTATACTGAAAACAGTTTGTCTTATATATTGTGTGAATATCTAATTACTTTTACTGTTGATGTTATAAATTGAACAATTCGAGATTCTAATAGATATGAAACTCAAATATTTAATCTAGGTTGTTTACTAATGAATCCATTTTGACAGCTTTCTCACTGTAAAACATTCCATTGCCTTACTCAACTAAATGCACATTATTTTCTTGGAATATCAAGCCTCAGAACAGATATGAAAAACACATGTCAACATACCAAAATTGGAAAACTGCGCCAAATATTCTAACAGTGTTAGTCAAGTGATAAGCGGTCTCATTTACTCGTCGGTCGATGTCGAAATTTTCCAATCGTGATGTACTCGATATCAACTTTCCAGTTCAGTCAAAGAGAATATTGTTAATTTGGAAAATGAAACCACGTGTATCCATTATACTACCACAACATTATATCAGCTGTTTCATGTGACGTCATCCACGTCACAACACGCGAGATCAAATCACGCGCACCTGTCCAGACGACAAATTCACAGCGACGGGAAATCACCGACCGTCTATTAGCCTATTCGAATAAAATTGCAGATTGTAACGAAAAAAAAAGTTTACTCATTGCTGACATTTCAGATAACATATCAAATAAGAGTTAAAGACTTGCACTGGATCATCATACGCTAATCGAGAGTACAGTGTACATCAATAATTTGTAAATCAAATATTAATTGGATCTAATATAGATGGCAGAATGTTGGAAATACGAGCTGTCGCGTTATGATAATATACATTCAATTTTCTGAGGAGATTAGTAATGTGTATTAGATGATATATATGCATACACAATTGGTTATCAATTATCTTGTACAATCACAGCATGTACCATGTACATTAGACTCACGCAAAATACTATTTCAGCAAACCAATCATAGCGCCATCATCACAGTTTCAATGAAAGGAAAAACAAATCGAAATCGAACTTTACAGCACATCGTATCCATAAGGGGTTAACCCAAATACAAAAGGTATTGATGGCATCAGTGTGGAAGTTATGTTAATGTTTTCAGTAGTTGTATTATGTTTGTATCGCGCGTACCATCGATAGAAACGGGGGCCGAGCTACCACACGTGAAACCGGCCTTGACACAATGTGTTTACAATATGGCCTCGATGTAGGTCAGATGTCGTGGCCACACTTTAGAAATCTCCTTTTGCGACAAAATGTGAAACAGTTAGGGCAAGTCATTCACACGGCCAGGTAGTTTGAGCAATCACACATAACTCTTAGTCATTTCCTATGAAAAAAAGTAGCAGTTATTTGTCTAAACGGGCGAACATGTAGGGCAACCGGTTGACAAGAAATCGGGGCACAGATATGATGCGAACGTGCCCTGTCGATCACGGGGTTGGCCATTCAATGTTTAGATCATGAACTTCCTGCCCATGAATATACACTATACCACCTTAATATTAACGATCATAGCTATCTTTCAATATCTTTGATTTGAATATTTTCTGTAAATCAGCGTCATAAACAGAAAGAAAAGATGCTCTGTCGTTTCGTCTCGCGTCGTGCTAAATCGTCATGATAAACAGTCGATAAACATATGCAATACTTCCGTTGCGGACTAAACGTTGGTAGTCTAACGCCAATAACTGTTCAGTGGGGAACAATAAATCTTTCTGACAAGTCTTGATAGATTTCTTTGTCTTCAAATTGGCTGTCTGATATTATAATAGTTCCGTATATGTGACATGGGTGCATAATAAAAAAAATCGCCGTCATTCGCATGAAGTGCAACATGGCAGAAAAAGGTCGAGAGGCGCGGTAACCACTTTACTAATCTCGCCGTATTTCGCAATCCATAGCACTGCATAAAATATGAGTTACACGATATTAATGCTGAGATGATTAGGGTGATGGTGGTTATAATTTCATTCAATGCACGTCATAAATGTCGTTTTCTCACGTGTACCGACCATTCCGCCAATACGGCTAGTCGATAAAAATGTACAAAACGTGTAAACAGACTTGTTCGTAAAGGAGTGAACAGAAATGTATATACGTGAATAAGCATACAGTTGTGAAAATTATGAATATTGTCAAGGATTTTGTCTGAAAATATTTACGTGTATGTGACATGGGTGCATAATCAAAATTCGCCGTCATTCGCTTGATGTTCAATATGGCAGAGACAGGCCGAGAAGAGCCGTAGACACTTTACTAATCTCGCCATAATTCGTAATGCGTAGCATTGTATAAAGTATGAGTTGCACGATGTTAAAGCTAAGATTATTGGTGTGATGATGGTTAGTTTTGACTTTGCGCACTCAGTGTTTGATATCAAAATTCACAGTTTAAAAAGGGCATTTTTCTCGGGACCATGTGGCACCAAGAGGGTTAAGTGTAAGAAGTACTGCTAACAGCTTCAGTTGCAGAGCCATTAGTGATGTCATTTGGTTGTGACGTCATGGTAACAATGACGTCACAATGGTCTGCAAAGCATTGTGTTTGGTTAATTTTAAAGTCCTTTGAAGTCCTGTTTTCGCCGAAGAACATTACAACAATATTATTTTGTCGGTATTTGCCGGCTCTCAGGCGCATACGTTTCCCCACTCATACTCAGTTACGCAAAGAAAAATAGTTCTTTGAATATATATAACATAATCTAGAAATATGTCAACATAATTTCATTCTATGTACAAATTTACAAAATTTTACAGAATTAATTTTTCTTCACTTGCGTTATTAGTATTGAAAGATAGCCATTCCATATCAAAATCACCGCAAGGACAATCCATTTTGTTAAATGTAGCAGCTAGACGACATTAATCACCAGAACCAAAGCATTTATTTATTTATAAGTCAGATGAAATGTTACAAAAGACCAGGCAAAAATACTAAATAAAGTATATTGCTGATAAATGCAGGTATTAAATAGAAAAAAGAAAAACGAGTTGATCGTAAACACCCATCGAGAATTCGGTGAAACCCCGTAAAGTAGTTCCAGCAAAAGTTCACACGATCAATTTCACAAAAAAAGATTGTTAACATCATGTGAACTTTATTTGTCCGTTCACAGGCGCGTGAACTCCAAATATCAGATCAAGTGACTGCCCTTTCAGCCAATCAGCATGATAGAAACAGTGTAAACTTCAAAGTATGAAATTATAAGACATACAGCTATATTACAAATTATGTAATACTAAAACGCTTGCTTATGTACTGGCGTACAAATATTGAAAGCTCTCAACATCCCTTGGCTTATTCAACGACATTGCGTGTGGAGATGATAGATGATCAGTGAGAGGAGCTTATGCACACTCGATGACCCCTTGCTGCTTGGCTGACGTCACACGGCATTGTTTCGCCGATGGATCTTGCTACAAAATTCCACAAATTACGTCATCTGGTATTGTGATGTGATTGTAAACTTTATGGGGCAAGGCCCCGTGCCACAAAGCAATCGTAGCGCCAAGACACTTGTACGTCTAGGTATATGGGAGTCATTGATAACCTTAACGCTACGATAACTTTGTGGAACGGACGCTTGAATTCTAAAGGTGGACCGTTGTATGGTATTAAATTAATAAGTGTCAACGTTTGACGTGTTTGAAG